GTTCTCTCTAGGATGTATTTGCCACCAACTTGACCCAATCCCTAATCTCCTCATTGGAGGCTTTTATCATTTTTTTTTAACCATTCACCTTCTCTGGCCTCCCTAAATTGCTCTTAATCACTCCATGGTTTCCTTTTTACAGCCAAAAATTGCTAGAGTTGCAAAGAAAAACAATTATTTTAACAATGGCTGCCAAAAAGAAAAAGGTACATAGATTGAATAGCTAAACATAGGAATGACTAAACAGGAAACTGCATTTGAAAAAAGTTAGAGCTTGTATAAACATTTTGAATTTTCATTTTGTAAGCAACATAACTCAGGTCATTGTCATGGCTACGTAAGATGAAGATACTGGTTTGGGACTTACTGTTTGTTTATGTTCTGTAAAATGCTTTTTCTCATTTTTAGTGATTTTATTTTTATTTTGCTGCTCTTTCATTTTCAATATTATTCAAGGGTTCTAATTAAATATTAAGTGGAGAAAATACTGCAAACCTAACAAACAAAACGCAGGTTGCACCTTCCCCCCCACCCTCATTTTTTGGATATGGCCAAAGTCAAACCCAGTTCAACACTTTGCCTAATCTCATCAGATCCAAACTGATCCTCTCTGCATCTAAACCAAAGTAGAGAAACATTCTAACCAGTTCACAGTACAGCCCAAGAACAGCCTTGACAAGGGAGCAGCAGCCTAGAGAAGCCTCAACCTTCCATTCTCCTTTATAATAGACATCTTCAACTCTGCTTTCCTCCTGGAAGGTCCATTTGACCTAACAATAGAAATAACCCCAGGTTCACTGGAAGCAGTTGCCTAGCTCCCTCAACTTGGCCAACAAATCAGAAACCTTGGAACTTCTAGTGGTGGCAGCGGTTCTCAACCTATGGGTCGCGACCCCATTTGGGGTCGATCGACCATTTCACGGGGGTCGCCAAGCAAGGCTGTCCGCCATTTTTTTCCCCTTTTCCGGCGGGTGCCTTACCTCCCTTGGGCTGGGCCAGCTGGTGGTCGGCCTGCTCCGTCTCTGCCGCTTGCCAGCTACGCCTCGGCCTGCGCAGGGGGCAGAACCACGCATGCGCGGCGCTCCTGGGCAGGGAAAGTCCTCGACTTACGACCGGTTGGGTAGTCCTCGACTTACGACCGGTTTAGTCCTCGACTTACGGCCGGTTTAGTCCTCGACTTACGACCGGTTTAGTCCTCGACTTACGACCGGTTGGGGGTTGCGGCATTAAAAAGGTTGAGAACCACTGACCTAGAGGCCTTAATATCTACAAAAATCTTTGCAGTTTCATTTTTTGAGGACTCTCTAGCTTGTAAAGCAGGCACCTTCCATAGTTCTTGTCAATGCTGTGCTCTTTCTTCAAACTGAATCCACAAATAATTAGGTGGCAGAAAATACATACAGAAAATTCTCTTTACTGCCATCAGTCAATCTTTGCAATGATTGCAGCCCAAGTCTGTTGACCCTTAATTAATAAACAGTAGTATATTTATAAAGCCAGCTTGGAATCAATCTAGGGGACTGTATCCTGGATACTTAGTAAGCAAAACAGAATTTACTGAGAATCTCAAATGTGAGAGTTTTTGGGGAAAAGAATTCCTATGATCCTGCCCAGGGTCGCACAAGTGTGATGGGCAATACAGAAATTTGATATTTAAATTTAAAGTGTTTATGGAAGAGTAATTGATTGTTCAATGAAGTTTAAATAAAATGCAGACACTGGTAGTCCCCACAAAATTAAAGTGATGGCCTTAGATGCTCAGAGGTTGAACTGAATCAAGGGTCCCTCCCTAAAGATAAAAATCTGAGAACAGTGGAAGGAAAAAACACATACAAAAAAGACTGTTTAATTTGAAAAAACATAACTGACTTTTATTAAAGTGAAAAATTTAGCAGAAGTGGAAACTGTGGTTAATAAGATTTAATGAGTTCTCCAAGTTGGCAAAGCTCATAAAACCATAATAACTTTTCATATAAAGTTGCTTACTACATACAGTGTGTGTGCTCTTCAAACCAATAATTTCAGGCCTTTTTCTAATTGGCATGAAATTGGATAGAAAACTGTCTAACTTCAGATAGCAGTAATTTAAATGTGCCTTCTATAACTTTGAGCTCACATACCGTATTAAAGTCACTGTTAAAGTCCTTTTCCATGTAAGATTTTTTTAATGGAATATTTTTTTCTTTGTGTGAAAAAAGTGAGTACTAAACTACCCTTGATATAGGATATCTTTGAATGGACCATTAAACCATTGCATGTCATTAATTTTAAAACTGACTTATATATTACTGAATTGGATTTTTTTTTAATCTTTATTGATACACCTTTCATACACATGGGCATGCCCACACACTTACACACATGGGCATGTTCAAAAGGCACATCAAGGAAGGATTTGAAGGAGAAAGTGCATAAGAGGAAATTATCCTTAATACATTCTCCTGTTATGGATTCAGATAAATTAAGAACCACTGTAACTATTACAGTTGGTTAATCGGATAAATTTGCTCTAGAAAAAGCACAAATATAAAACACAACCCTATTATAAAAATAGGTAGAATACATGAGAATAAATCCAAATATTTTGATTATATCAAAGGAAATACTTTTGATAGTATCTGATTTAGGATAAATAATATGGCAATAAAATAGAAAGATAATCAAATATGAAACAACATTTTGTAATAATAAAAATGTGGCAATCTTTCTGAATGGAAATACAGAAGTTTTTATTACTAATCTCAAATGAATATCTATATGACCTTCTACTCTGCTTAAGGTATAGTCTGTCCAGAAAAAAAAAGTTCTTTAATATAAGCAGTGGTGGTTCTTGTTGTCATATAGACTTCTTTTGCTAAGAACTATGGTTGGTTTCTTAGTCAACAACTAATAAACTTCAGTATTTTTTAAATTTCCAAAGTTACACATTATATTATTCTATTTGCTGTGCAGTAAATTCAAATATTTAAATATTTAAAATTCTGTACAGTTTCTTCAGTTATTATTTTTAAAACCCGTACCTGTTAACCTGCATTATAATGATGATAGTTTTCAGAGTCCTCAACTTATGACCAATCGCTTAGCTACAATTAAAAGTTACAAAAGATTTCCTTGGGATTACTTATGATCTGGTTCTGAAATTTCAATGGCTGGGTCTTCCCCCCCCCCACACACGTGGTCACATGATCACATTTTAGGCTCTCAGCAATCTGCCTGCGTTCATGGCTGTAGGCATGTAACTGCATTTTATGATGTGGGTTTTTTTTATCATCAAAAACCAGCATTTACTTCCAGTTTTTGGCAAAATGGCTGGCAGTGAACAAGTGGTTCTCTTAATGACCATGGTGTTCGCTTGAATGCCTGTGGTCGTTGCTTTCCAACCACAGCATTTGCTTAATGACCACCACAAAAAGGTCATAAAATAGATCAGTTTTACGACAATCATGTCATGACCAAAATGGGCAGGCTCCATTACAGTTGTAAGTCGAGCATTATTTGTACAAAAGGTATACTCCTTCGCCATATCTGCATTTGAAGCAAGCCTAATGCTGCGGTGTTGGCTTATTTACTTGAGAGTAAAACTTACTGAATTTGGTACAATGGGTTCAGAGTATTTAAATGTGTCATTGGCATGATTTTTTTTTTTAAAAAAATAGACTCTGTATGCTTATTTCCTACACATTCTTCACCCTCACTATACATTATGATTTTCTGGGTTGTCTTCATTTTTGTTCCAATTTGTTCCAGATTTGTGTTCATCTCAGGGCCATCCAGAAACAGATCCCTCCTTCCCAGCATGTTCTGAAATCAGCACCAGATTTGCAGGCCTTAATATAAGAGTCTTGTACAGCCTGCTTCTCTGCCCTGGCAGATTCTCCCCCTTAGAAGGGGAAAGGAGCAAGAAATGAATGTAATTATAATTATCTCTGGCCCATCTCATTCATAATTATTGGAACACAGAAAGCTTAGGTCATGGTAAATTCAAATGATTTAAGAATAATTTGTACATAATGAAAGATAGGTTCATGCCCAGGGGTTAACGTTTGTAATTCATTAATGGGTGGCCTCTATTAACAGATATTTAATATTTATTTTTTATTTTTTAATATTTAATTTAATATTTATTACTATCAACTTCTAAGGGATATGCCTTTTTGGTTACATAGATTTACAGTTTAAGAAACAAAGGTTCACATATCCATTTAGAAAAGTTTGAAAAACAAAAGTAAATTAAGTATAATTCCATAAGCACACATAATACTATAATACACCCTCATAATTATATTAACCTTTCGGGATCATCAGCTCTAATATAAACTATAGCTGTTGAAGGTGGCATTTAAGCCAAAGAGCATGCAAAGGCTTCGAATGTTAGTGTTATGTAGCTTTAGTTAAATTAGTGGCTAATCAAATTTCTGTTATAAAGTAACAATTACCATTTTAGGTTTACCAATCTATTATTAATTCTATAATTATCTTGTCCGTTCTTAAATTATTTTGGAATACTGTACCTAAGTTCTAAATTATATTTTTTATAGCTATGACTTTGCTATGTAATAACTGTAGTCATTTAAACGCTAATGTCCATAGTTTCTTCATTGTTTACATTTTTTAAAATCCATACCTGTTATACTACGTCAGCTGTTACAAATAATGTTATGCATTATTTATAAAATGTATTTCACAATTTATGATCAGAATGTCACTGTAATAATTTCCTGATAATATACTTAATATACTTCCATTTCTTGAAACAACAAAAAACTTAATATGAACTCACTTCACAAGGATCTAGCCAAAAATGACCTTCATTACCGAACTGATTAAAACTAATCCACTATTTAATTTTAGTTCTAACTTATTTTTGTTGATAATTCTGTCCTCTTGGGCAACCTTGTGTTTATTTAATTTTAACAGAAACAGTTTCATAATACATGTGTAAATTGTATTTTTTCAAATAAGTTTAATATTACTTGAATGAAGGACAGGCATGAAGCTAATATAGCTTTATTTAATACTTGCAAATTTATCCTTGATGTTCAAGAAATCTACCATAAAATCTGGAAATCCAGACAAAATAAGGAGATGCTTGAAACACAACATGTATTTAGTATGTGAAAGAGATCATGCTGCAAATTTTATAGATAGTTTTTATGTACATAAGATGGAAAAATAACTTTATAGCATATTTTCTATAAATACGTACATACATAAAACATTCACTTACAAAGTATCTCATTCACTCCCATTTATTAAAACAGCCACATTTTAAAGTGTCAAAAATACCACATTGGAACCATATTAACCAATTAACAGCAACACTGATAATTTCCTCACTAGCCCCTTATATTTTCATCCAGTTGTTTCTCTGCTGGTGACACAGTAATAAGTTTTATATTGTTGAGTGACACTGGAATTTATAAAAATCCTTTCGGAAGTCGTGGCTATAGTATTCAACAAATGCCTGTAACATTTTTTGCAAACTCCCAATAAGATATCGCAATGGTGAAATCACCATTCTGAAAGAATCCAGTTATGATAAAACTCACCAGGTATTACATTTAGCCTTTGGTTACGCTTTGCACTTGAAATCAGTGCAGAGGACTCACATTTAGCTGGATTTTGCTTTACAGCTGATTAAATACAATTCACTTTACAATGTTTAAAGTCCTTTTTATCATGTTTATTGTCTTAAATAAAAATAAAAAAGAATCTCAAATGAAGGCATTAAAATGTTATTCTCCAACTCTTTCCAATACAGTACTGAAAATCTGAAAGGCATGATAGAGCTTCCACTAAAACTGGTAGACATTTTGTATTAGAAACAAAGCAAAACATGAAAGAAAGGAATTTAATCCAGTTAAACAAAAGTGTCCAAAGTGCAAACCGGTGTGTCACATGTTTTTCAATTAAAGAAATCCACCGTCAAATAGAACAATCTGAAAATGAGATGAAGATAAAGGAAATTTCACACGGACGCACAAAGAAAAAAGTAACAACATTGCAATAAAGTAGTTGTGCTTATAACAGCAAGTACTGTAAACTACTTTGACAATACACAAAGTTTGTATTACAAACCAAAGGTCTAATATAAAGGTAAATTCTCCCAATCTGTAACAAAAAAGGGAGAGGGGGAGAATGGGACTGCATTGTAGTGTGATGCAAATTAAATGGATAATTTGGCAAGAGCTGATAGCTAACTCCCAACATATACAGAGGGTATGTCAAGAATGATACACAGAATTGTTGCCCAGTAATGTTAACAAGGTGAAAGCTGTGAATAAGAAGTATGTATTTTAACAGTAGAAGTTTCCAGACAAAATACTTATAGGAGTTTAATATCCTTCCCATTTCATTTGATCCTGATCTTCAACACAGGCAGGATCGTGTCTGGTGCAACAAATAGTAGACTAACCATGTTGCATTTGGAGAAAAGAAGTGGTAGAACTGAAATCCTACATAAATGCAGCCCAAACTCCATTTCTCTGCCCACGTGGGATTCACATTATAAGTCAGTGTCAAATACTAACATTGCTCTCACGGCATGACAATTAACTCTCAGGAAATGAAAGGAAAATATTACTGCAGAGTTCATGCAGGCAGTTATGAATCAAACAGCATCTGCACAGGACTCCCCCGCCCCCAAATTCATAAACACTTCCTTGAAGTTTTTAAATTTACTCTTTTCTTCTTGCAAAATGAATGTTTCCTACATCTTCTGTCCGGAAGAGGCACACGTTGGACTAACATGCTGCAGTGCCACACCACTTTCAGACTGCTGAGATTTGTAGTCAGATATGCTTTGTGCAGCAAAGCGTTTCTTCACCAGGTAGCAGATAATAACTACCAACATCACAACAGTAAAGGTGACACTAACAATGATGGCAACCAATGTCCCTCGGCTGCTGCCATCCTTTGGTGGGGCAAAAGAAGGAGGTACAGATGTTGTGGGGTAAGCTTCAGTTTCACCTGAAAACTCCTCTGGTTCTTCTGATGGCTGCTCACCACAGCTGTCCGCTTCTTGAATAAGTCCATTGGGACAGATGCATTTGTAACTGCCAGGAACATTTATGCACTTCAGGGAACCACAGAGTCCAGACTCGCACTCATTGATGTCTGTGCATACTCTCATACCATCCAATTTCACTTCCAAGATAAAGTGTTCTGGGCAATAGCATTCGTCTACATTGTGTGGGTCACACTGTGCAACGCATTCAGTTTGGTTACAGACTCGGAGACACTTATGAGGATTTTTGGAGTCAGGAATATATCCCTCAAAACATGTGCATTTGTACTCTCTGCCAACAAGGTTGCAGTCGTGTTCACACGTTAAATCAAAGCACGGCCATTTCTCTGGGAGGCATTTGCCCTTCACCAGATCGTAGCCTTGCCAGCAGCGACACTCAAACGCGCCCTGGGTGTTAATGCACTCCTGTTCACAAAGCCCTGGTGTGGCCTGGCAGTCATCAACGTCCAAGCAGCTCTTGCCGTCGGAATCCAGCTCATAACCCTCAAAGCACATACAGACTCCAGAGTCACCCTGAGGCTCACAATACTGCTGGCATCCTAATGCGGCACACGGCGACCAGCAGCTCCGCTGGTCCTCCAGCAACGTCTTGCCTTCCAGGCAGGCGCAGTGGGGTCTCCCTTGCCCGTCCAAATGACACCGATCGTCACAGCCCCCATTTTGCAACTGGCAATCCCAGGCGCCGGGCGCGGCCGAACCCCACTCGAAAGACCCGTTGCTGCCCTGCGCGCGGCACTCCAGGACGGCCCCCAGACCCGGCACCTCCACCGTAGTGCCCGGAGGAGAGGCCGCCAGATCGCTCTCTCGGGCGCCGAAGGGCGTGAGGTAAGTGACCGCGAAGGCGGCCGGCAGGGGCCCGCAGGTCCCGTTCGGATAGTTGTACTCGCAGAGGACGGCTTCGGCGGAGGCGTCGCAGGCGCGCTCCCGCCACCTTAGTTGGCTAGTCACCACCACGCACGTGGGGCCGCAGGTGGGCACTTTTACGCCGGACCCGTTCCTCTCCCAAGCCTCGAAGTCCGTCCGCTCGTCGCCGGTCACCCACTGAAATCCCTGCAGGCGTTTCGCCGGCTCGACGCAACGGTGGGCGGGTAGGCGCAAGCCTAGCCACGCGCTACCGGGGCCGTCGCGCGGCAGCAGCAGCGCTATGGCCTCCGCCGCCACCGTGGAGCGGACCGTCATGAGGTGCCCGCCGCCCGCCTCGCACACGTCGCCCGCCTCGGCGAAACTCCTGGAAATCCCGAATAAGCCGAAGCAGGCGGAGCCCAGGCACTGCGCGCCTAAGGGGATCGGCGCTGGAGACGGCGAGGGCGACGCCAGCCCCGCTCTCAGGCTGCCCACCGCCACTAGGAGAAACCACATGTTAGCGGGCGGTTGCGGTGAAGCCTCTTCGAGTGCAACTTGGGTGCCCCCGTCGTGGCTTCCCGTTCAGGCGGTCGCGGCATTTATAGCGCCTTCCATGCGAGGGGAAGCGAGGGGAGGAGGGGAGAAAACCGGGAGAAATAAGGGAAGCACCGCCCGCCCAGCAGGAGATCTCCCACTGGCGCAGAGTCAGAGTTTCTCTCTCTCTCTCTCTCTCACACACACACGCACACACACACACACACAGCTGGATGCGAGAGCTGAGAAGGGAAGCCAGCCGGTCCCGCCCTCATTTCCTCGACTATTGGCGCAGGAAATTGAGGCTTCCACCCGATCCTTCTCAGTCCTGAGAAGTGGCTGCTGCGAGCAGCCAAACTCTAGATAGCGTCCGCAAAGTTAGCTAGTTTTCTTTTTGCTCTTTAGTTGGCTCTCCATTTCTAAACCAGCATCTGGCCACTAATTGCGAGTAACTGCATGGACTTTTTGTCTTCCACAAACCTGGCACCAGTTTGCAACCTCTGCCCTTTAAATGTCCTGGTGGTGTGGAGATGCTTCCCTGGGTGAGGCATTTGCTCAGTTCTGGCATGTTCTCTGTGGTTGCTGCTGCTTCCAAAAGAAAGGAAAGTTTTCTGAGGGTTTTTAGATGTGGAGGAGTGGAAGATGTCCAATAAACTTTGGTGTTCAAAATGGAAAAGCCGGTAGCTGAAAGATACATGCCCATAAAGCATTGTAGGCGCCTTGGTCTTAACAGTACTATAAATCCTGGAAAATCTTGCAGTGGCGACAAAGGAACTGGCAAAAAACCCTCTGTTTATTCTGCATTCAAATTTATTCTACAGGGGTTTGGACTGGAAGACCTCCAAGGTCCCTTCCAGCTCTATTCTGATCATTATTATTAAACTGTTGCTTGAACACACCAGTGAGAACAGTTCCCAAAATGTTATGGCTGAAATTTAAGTAGATTTTGCTTATGTATTTGATACTCCGTGTTTATTGAGGGATCATCTCAACTGTAGAGGGTAAAGAGGTTGATTTTGGTAGAGAAAGGGAAGATCTGTTCCCAAGGCAACAAACAGATAAACATTGCTTAAGTCCAAATAATAAGGAAATAAGCTTTCAGATAGGTACCCTATAACTTACTTAAATATAAAAGAGAGATGAGAGATGAGGGAAAGCACATTCAGACTTGCAAGACTGTTGTCAACCCTGGGAGGCAGACCTGACCAAGAAGACTTCACGTGGGCCTAAAGCTATTTTTACAAAGATTGATCATAGTAACAGAAACTTGCAAGTCTTAAATGTGCTTCCTTTCTTTCCTCTTGCATGAATTGGCAATTACATTGTGGACAATTTATCAAAATGTTTTGGAGTCCTCTGGATTAGCTCTCCGGTCTTGGCCATTAGCAGTGTTGCCTTTTGTCTTCTGAAAGAGAGAATTAACGGAAAGAATGTGCTTTCACGAGCTAATGAGCATGTCAATAAATGGGATGATCCTATGCAAAAAACTCATCAGTCCCCAGCCCTTCCTGGTTAATAAAAAAAATAGCTTTAACTTTTTTCCTAGATTGTACTAGTAGTTCACATATAGTTGAAATGGAACTGGGAATATGTGCTGTATGTTTCGGAGAAATCTTTTATCCAAAATTATTACTATTAATGAAGGAGAGTCCGTTTGATATATGACCAGGCTAGAAACTGGGAGATCCTGAGTTGTATTTCTGCCTGAGGCACCAAAAGCCATCTGGGTGATCTTGGACCTGTTGCTCTCACTCTGCCTTAGGAAAAAGCGAGGGGAAGCTACCAGCTACTCCTCTAGTTACAACCACAGTTGAGACCAAAATTTCATTTGCTAAGCAAGGTGGTTGATAAGTAAGTTGGGACCAATTTTATGACCTTTTTTGCCACGTTGTTAAGCAAACCACTGCAGTTGTTAAGTGAATCACGTGGTCATTAAGTGAATCCAGCCTCCCCCCCCCCAATTAGCTGGGAAGAATGCATATGATGACCCCTTGATCAGAACTTGGCAACTATTATAAATACATGCTGGTTCCAAGCACTGGAATTTTGACCACATGACTGCGAGGATGCCGCAACAGTCATTACTGTGAGGCTCAATCATAAGTCACTTTTTTTCAATGCCATTTTAACTTTGGCCTTAAATAAATGGTTGTAAGTTCAGAAATCTTGCAAATCCTTCCCCCCCACCTCCCCACATGGACATGTCCAGGGTAGTTTCCCGAAGTCAGTGCTGACCTGAAGGAGCAATGTCTGCCTATTATCTATCTACAGGTAGCCTCGACTTACGATCATTCATTTGATCATTGTTTGAAATTGTGACAGCATTGGAAAAAGTGACTGGTCCTTGCACTATGAGTGTCACAGCATCCCCCATAGCCACGTGATCAAAGTTTGGATGCTTAGCAACTGGTACATATTTATGTCCGAATTCCTTAACAACTGTGTGATTCACTTAACAACTGTGGTGATTTAATGACTATAGCAAAAAAGGTCATTGAAGTCCACAGGTCATAAAAGGGCCATAGTTCCCCACTCTGGTCATACAGTGACCTTTCGCAGCTACAATAGTGATGAAATGTAAGTTTGTGACTAATGCCCACATTTAGGACCTTCCTATTTCTGCAAAGCAAAGGAAAGCTGAAGTAAGATCATATGCACACAGTTTCACATAGCAACCACTTCACTTAATGACTGAACTTCCAGCCCCAATTATAGAAATTCCTCTATTAATATGTCTCCTCCCGCCCTTCTTAGTAGAAAAGAACCTGATTTCAAGGAACACAATTAGCATTGCATGTAATACGATTCTTAGAAGCAAGTCATGCTTTTCAGCTGAATACTATGTGTTTGCTGTGGTTATATACTGGTACAATACTTGTGTTTGGTATTAGTACATAAAAAGGTAGTAAAATAAATTTCCTTTCTGAACGTAGAGTGGATACGTGTTAGGAGACGGTCTGAATGATGAAATTGCATTTAGGGGAATCCAGTTGAAGTCATGGGCGGCTTTGGCGGACATGAACTGTTGGCTGTAGAATTAGACCGCATGCATTTGCAGGCCCCTCTGAGGCAAAAACATGCTTTTGATTGTCAGGCCTTTTGCAGCATCAGCAGAGAAAGAATTCAAACTCTATTACATTTGCCCTCTGTCCCCTTTTATGCAATAGCAGGGGAGTGTGCTCTTATTGTTCAAGACATGATATATCCAGTGATTATATAGTGCTTTCCCCATGACTGAAGTGATAGCTACTGATGAAGACTTCCTGCGTCACTTTAAATATATTTGGCAAGAAAAAGGGATGATGTTGCAGATGAATTTCAAAGATTGGGAAACCCCCTCCTCCAAGGTGAGATAGTTGGAGTGATAGAACAGCTGCAAGCATTGCAAGAAGTGAAAAGTTTAAGGCTTCTGCTAAACTAGATAATTAGCAGCCAACGACAAACTAAGGAACTGCCATCCGATCAGAACAATAAGACATTGAGACATTGCTCTAAAACAGGTTTTATGACTTGCGGACTTCAACTCCAGGCATGCTGGCTGAAGAATTCTGGGAGCTGAAATCCACGAGTCATAAAAGGGCCAAGTTTGAAGACCCTTGCTCTAAAATGAAATGGATGACAGTGCCTCACCTGAGGTCTTTTTTAAACAGCATTTCCAGTTCAGGCTGGTAAGGGAGCTACTTTCAGAAGAAAAAAGATACGCTCCAAGAGATAATGCGTGATAAGATATTTTGTTGGGCTTCTAGTGGAAAGATTCCAATTTGACTACTGGATAAACTACTGAATATCCTTTTGCAACTCACTTTTGCTAAGTATCATGATTTATCTGGCTTTAGCCTTACAGTGTTGCATGAAACCCAGCATCTTAGTTTGAAGTTACTTATTCAAGCACATAAGAAATGTCTAGTTTAGCTAGGCTTGTTGATTTTGTTTGGAATTATGTTTGTGTCTGATTGTTGCCTACCTGTTTTTTCCCCTTTATTTCTTTTTTTGCAGTGAATGTTTTGTAGCAAGAGATTTCTTTGTTTCTTTCATTAGGAATTTCTCCATTAAAACCACTTGCAATACTACACAACTACCCCTTTTGTTTCAGTATTGGCAAAGGTTTTAATAAGTTTTGTATTTTTAAGCTTTTTGTTTTCCCTAGATTGAGTAGAAGGAAGACATCTTTAGAAAAGAACTAAACAATCCTTGGGAAGTCTCTCAGAGAGAATTGATTGCTCCTGGTTTCTAACCATAACCCTAGTCCCACCATTGCCTTCTGAAATGAGACAGACAGGACCTGCCAGAAGAAGGTTGGGTAGAGATAAAGGGCTGAAAAGTAAACTCCCCCAGATACTTGTGTATTAATAATAATAATAATGATAAAGTTGGAAGGGACCTTGGAGGTCATCTAGTCCAACCCCCTGCTCAGGCAGGAAACCCTATACCATTTCGGACAAATGGCTGTCCAGTTTCTTCTCAAAAACTTCCAGTGTTGGAGCATTCACCGCTTCTGGAGGCAGGTTGTTCCACTGGTTAATTGTTCTAACTGTCAGGAAGTTTCTCCTTAGTTCTAGGTTGCTTCTCTCTTTGGTTAGTTTCCACCCGTTGCTTCTTGTCCTGCCTTCAGGTGCTTTGGAGAATAGCTTGACTCCCTCTTCTTTGTGGCAGCCCTTGAGAAGAGGGAGTCAAGCTATTCTCCAAAGCTATTCTCCACTATTCATGTGCTCACTGGCATAGCAGAAGAGATACACTGTGAGGATATAAGATGTAGATGACATAGTGGAACCTTGGAGGTTAGAAATTGGTGGCAGAGCTTTACACTCCTTTAAAGTCTTATTTTATTAAGTACGTAATCTTATTGTTTTCACTCAGGACATGATGAAGCTATCAGTGACAATGAGGAGGAATTCCTGTCATGAGGAATATTCATATAGGTTAATAACGTTTGCACCAAGAGAAGGGGATTACGATGGCCCTTCCCAAGTCTGATGAAACCA